GAAGAAGGACATGTATGTTTTTGTTTTTCGAAACTGAAGGAGATAATCAAGGATTTGAAGAATTCCATAAATGTACCAAGACCAGGTAGCGGTGATGGACGGGAACTGGCCCGACAGCTAAACAAGGAACTCGGCTTGTTTTTTTGACAGCAGGCAGTACGTTGTTTTTCTGCAAGTGATTTGAGCAGGTGTTACAAGCAACCGACCGAACACGGAGGTGGGATCTTAATGAGCGAAGTCCAAGCGATAAAGGAACAGACGAAGGGACTGGTCCTCATGCCCATGGACCACAACATCGGTGACACCATGGCATGTTGCCCGATCAGGTACCAGAAGGCGATGCAAACCATGTTTTTGGAAAACCAAGCATTCATCAAGCGTCAGGAACAAGAAAGTGCGATCCTCGAAGAATGCAAGAAGAAGTATGCCAGAGAAGGCTACACACGAATAGCGAAGTGGGACAACAACGGCTTGCTGGGACGGGCCTACGTCATCCCGAAACACAAAGACATCACAACATGGCGACCAATTTGCCCGTCGTACAGCGAGCCAGCCGGAAGAATAACCAGATTAGTCGGTAGGGCTTGAACTTCATGTTATGGAGTCTTCCGAGACACTCCAACTTCAACTTAAAGAGTACCCAGCAGTTGGTGGACTGTGTGGTGGCCATCAACAAGACCGAGGAGAAGACGAAGAAACGAGGCTTGATTGCAGCCAGTTTTGACATAAAGGATATGTTTTCCAAGTTACCACATGGAGCCATAATCGAGGCAGTAGATTGGCTTATTGAGAAGTATGAAGAGAAAGGACTGAGTCTCCTCAGGCATGGGCCTACCCTACAGGAGGGGGACTAGATGGCTGCGAGGAGGATCGGATGGGAAAAATTCACACGGTGCGGACCTCCGACGTATTAATGGAATATTACACCATTGGGGCAAGGGGGGGACTCCCAGGGTCACGAAACAATTTCGAATGGAGGAACAAATTGGAGGTGTTCCGAGTGCGAGTATTGGACAAGGGAGAGGGTCGTACTTGTGACACACAACCTCATGCCCTGTGCTGTCTTCCGTTCGGAGTGTTAGCTGTGCGGAAAAGAGGCCCAGAAAAACAGCAAGATGGGGTGTACCAAGGATTTTTGGAAATTTAGTGTGGGGATACAGACGGAACTGAAATCCCCCGTGTTGGTCCGATGGAGCAAGTGGATCGTTTCGCGCGTCGCGGAATGCGCGCGCGGGCAAGGCGGAAAAGAGAGAGAAGGACCCAAATTCAATCCAAAAAATATTGTCGTGCCTCCCACCGGGCTACAACCTGTCATTTAGAACAGAAAGGCTTGGGCACGTTTCGTGTGTCTCGTTTTCGTATCAAATCCCATCGTCGTTCGCTGGTTAGTTCCGAGTCTGACGTGGAGGGTCTCAGTCGCGTGGCTCTTTCTTTATGCTCGTCTTCACTTTGCACACGGTAGTGGAAACCCCTGAACTCGTAGCGCTCAAAACGCTGACATTCGGTGCACAGAGTGCGCGGCCAGTGGGGTTCTACTGCCGTACACGGAATGACGATTAACTTGTTAAATGGCAACAATACCGAGTAAGGTGGGAAGTGCGTATCGATAATAACAAACCCGGCTTCTACGAACCCAGAACAACGGTTGGCCGGAGGGAAGTAATACTGCCCGCCGAT